CGCCGCACGCCGGCGTCTCTACTCAATGCCATTTCCCAACGCCACCTCACATCACTGCAGTCGATTCGATTGCATCATCCACACAAAGACACGACACAAATATGCAGTGGAGCTGTGAAAGTCACTTCACTGAGTCATCCACCCTCAACACCTTCGAAATGGTGTGGATGCGCAGTAGAATAGTGCAAAAGTCTGAAATGGGTTAGAAGGTGGGGTTGAATGATGCGATAGTGCAATGGAATCTCATCCTCCTCCTCCACCTCCTCCTCATACTACTTCTTCTTCCTCTTCTTCCCATTCTCCTCCTTGTCCTCATCCCCTCCCCTTCAACCTTCTCCGCACTCTCCCCTTCCGCCTTCACTCTATCTATGACCGTTGTCCCCAAACCTTCCATACACACTCCTTCTTAACTTAGTCTTCCCTTCACACACACTCCCAACTACCCTAACCAGATGAGAAGCAGCGAGAGAAGCATATGTCGACTCGTGCCTGGTGAATGATCACTGCATCAGTTGGTGCGGAAATGAGACCTCCTTCCTCCCATTGCTCATCACTGCTTTGCATTACCTATACATAAGTGGGGGATGAGGAGGAGTGGGGAGTGGAGGAGGTTAAATTTAATTGACATTCTCTTCCTCCTCATTATCCTTCTCATCTTCTTCCTTCTCCACATCCTCAATCTCCACCTCCTCTCTCTCAACGATCTTCTTCAACCCTTCCACATCCTCACAATTTTTTCTTCTCTTACACGCACTCCTATCCACCCCTGCTAGACAGCAACACAATCAACTACCGCCAAAATGATTGCCACCCATACGGGTAGTCGAATGAACATGGTATATGAAACCTTTGAAAATCAAATGCGAACTGTTAAGTAAATCACCGAGAGACATTTTTAGAAGGGGCAGGCAGTGATCATGAACACCACAACCCTTTGCACAAAACGTCAGAGCGGTCATTCCTGGCGTGTGTTAACTCGGGGCATCACGTGATCCGCATTTTGAGGTTGACACGACCGCCCACAATTTGGTCCCAAATGCACAGTAAAGTTATCAAAAAATGACCATAAAGCGTGTGAAAGGTAAGCAATTTAACAGTTCAAAAAGAATTTTTAGGCCAGCTTGTATAAATAAGTTTTTATTCTTGCTTCCATCAGCCCTCCAAGGGTCTTTGGTTTTCG